TTTTTGTAAACAAGAGGGACTAAATTATATTTTACTCGAGTGGGGTGTGGCCGAGTAGTGTTTGTTATCTTGTTTTATTTTTTGAATTCGAATGTTTAATTGTTTTTTAAGAGAATTTTTTTTTAATACGTCAATAGATAGATGTGAAAAGTCTATCTTTAATATCACTAAAAAAATTTAGTTTTAATTACCATACAAACTAATTCAAAAATACTATTTACTATTAAATAAAAAAAATAATCATAATCTTATTGACTTGAGTTTTTTAATTTTTAATTTTTTTGTAAAAAAGAAAGATTTCTTTTAATCTTATCCCATAATTGACAAACATCCCACACATAGAGTCATTAGTAGCAACATATGTGATGAGAAGTTCATGTTATTCGTCAAGTCATTAGATAAGATTCTAGAAAACAAGATATGTAGATTACTATCACAGGTTGCTAAGGTTTTGAATGTTGTTTTTGAAAAAATACTTAGAGAGATCTTTTTGATATGGATAAAACAAGTATGAAGAGATAAGAATTCTTGGGTGTTCTTTGACTCCTTTTTAAGTTTTTTATCCATCAATTATTGAGAAAGCAAAAAATTTTCTAAAGTACTTAGTTGCCATTGATAACATTGAATTTATTGAATTTTTCTTTCTCGTACTAAGAATAATTTTTATGTTCATGGTCTATCTTACACGTAACTTAGCCAAATAGACATGGTGTTGCCATAAGAAGGACAAATAGAACATGAAAAGACAAGAGTTCTCGAGCAATCCTTGACTCATTCCTAAATTTTTTATCCATTAATGAGGAGGCCTAAACTTTTCTTGAGTTTTCAACTCCCAATGATGGCATTGAATTTTTATTTCTTGTACTAAGAATAATTTATGCTCATGGTGTAGCTAGTGCATAACTTGGTTAAATGGACAAGGTATTTCCATCGAAAGACAAACAAAGTGTGAAAAGTCGGCTAGATGGACATAGTGTTTTCATTAGGAATAAATATTGAGCATGAAAAGCTTATGGTCTAGATAACACGTAACTTGGTCATATGGATATGGTATTGCAATCGAAAGAAAAATTAAATATTAAAAGCTCACAATCCGACCGACATGCGACTTACTTAGACGGACATGAAAAGCTAGCGTGGAACTTGGCCAAATAAACATGACATTACCATTAGAAAAAAAAAAAACAAAAAACTTAGCAAGAAAGGATCATGGTCCGGCTAGCACGCATCTTTGCCAAATGGACATGGTGTTTCCATCGGGAAGAAATACTAAGCATAAAAAGCTTATATAGCTTGGCTAGGATATAGCTTGGCTAGATGGACATGGCATTGCCATAAAAAAAAAAATTGAGTGAAAAACTCATGGCTTGATTACCACACAATTTGCCCGGATGGATATGGTGTTGCAATTAGAAATAAAAACTAAACATGGAAAGCTCACACTTAGCTAGCACGTAGCCTAGTCGGATGAATATGGCGTTGACATAAAAAAAAATTAACATAAGAAGCCCTCGTCCGGCTAGAACCCAATCTAGCCAAATGAACATGAAGTTGCCATAAAAAAGAAAACTTGAGCATGAAAAACTTACGAGTTTGGCTAGATAGATATGACGTTGCTATTGTTAGTGTAGATGTCTAAGATTCAACCTTAATTGGATGGTTTGAGTTATTATAACATTGCATTATTTAATTTATTAACAATAAATGAAGTCTTTCTATTAATTCTTATTGTTTATATTTATTTATTGCATAGAATTAAATAAAAGTTCATATGATATGTATTTGTATTAATGATTGATCAAAAGATGTGAGACAAACATTAATACACTTAAATGATATCATTAAATATCCCAAGTCGTAAGCATTGTCAAGAATAGACATTGACTATATACGAGTTAAACTTGTAAGTGCTATGCTCATACTATAAGATAATAGTAGGAGATCTCACACCTATTGGCATTGTGATGCCAAAGCAAGCACTTATGTGATTTATGTTAAAAAAACATATTAATGGACTTGACTCGCCATGAGAACCCATTTGGTTTAGTTTATGAGAATCTCATATGAGATGGGTATAATTGGTCATTTGACTTGAAGTCATCATAATTATCTCATTAGAGGATTTATGTACTTTGACACTCGTTTTAGTAAACCTAGTAAAGGTTTGCATGTGGACGATTCATTCGGTGCACTATGAATCTAATGAAGATAGGTGGATGATTAAGATAGGACATGTCATTCCTTGTTTACTCAAGGAGTTAGCACATTGCATTTCGGTAAATGTCTACTCAAGAAATATATAATCATAATAAGGGTACACTAATAGAGCATAGTTAGTTTATTCTAAAAGTTAATGCATTTGGGAATCGAAGAAAACTTGTGTGATCCTAATCGAATAGACTAATAACCAAATGCAAGATCACACTCGTGATAATTTGACATGAGGACTAAATTGTATGATAACCATGCTCGTGAAAGGTAATTACGGATTAATTAATCCTTTTAGAGAATTCGGTAGTCATGATGCGTTGTTAGAGGTCAATTTTGATATATGTATCAAGAGATAAAAGATGTATCTTTTATTCTTGATATATTGCCAATATATCTAAGAGTCTATTGAGTCACATACATAAGTTTAAGCATTCACATAATAAAAAATGTTGGAAAAAGTTTCTAATTTTGAAAGTTTCCTATTTTAAAAAAGCTTTTTGAAAATGGAAAGTTTCTTATTTTAAAAATTAGTTTCCTAATTTAAAAATCAGTTCCAAATTTGAAGATAAGTTAACCAAAAAAGAAATTAGTTTCCTAATTTAGGCTTAAAGGTAATTTGGGAAATTATTTCCTAATGTGGGCCTCTTAGAAATATCTAACCTAATTTATTTAGATAGTTAAATTAATTAGTAATTAACCGAGCCAAAAGAATTTGGGCCAATAGGTTTAATTAAAAAGCATGTAAGATATTTTGGTGGGAGGATAAACATGAACTTTATTGGATAAGGATTAAGGTTTAAAAGAATAAGATAAAAAAAAAAAAAACTCACATGTATAATAACTCTTAACCTTTGGAGGATTAGGAAGAAACAATCAAGACTCTTTGGAGGAATCATTGCTGCCACTTTTTTGTCCTTGGAGGATAAGGAAGACACTCCCCTATAAATATAAGGGGAGATACGACAATGAGTAAAGCAAGCTAGGGCATACACGGTTAGGGTAAAATAATAATAATAATAATAAGGAGAAAATAGTTTTCTCTTCCCTAAAGCATGCCACACCTTCCCCTTTCTTCTAGGGTTATCGTAAAATATTCCTAAATTGATTTCTAAAAAAAAAAACACTAAACAAGTCAAAAAAAGGTGGAGCTAGCACTTTACTACTTTTGAGTGCTTCTTGTGTGAGTGTTTGGACTGCTCTGTATTATCGATAGAGATCGGACACTTGGATGACTCATTTTTCTACAAAGGTTAAATTCTATGCTACAAGAGTTAATCCTTTACTTATACTTTAATTCATGTATGTATGATTAGTTGATCCAATGACTTGATCTTAGGAGCCTTAGATGGAGGAAAAATTTTGTTTTTTTCTCGCATCTCTATAAGATGCATGATGCTTCAACCATTAGACAAAAAAAATTGAACAAGAAAATCTCATGGCCTAGCCAACATACGACTCTAACCGAATGAACATGATGTTACCATTAGGGAAAAAAAAAGAACATGAAAAGCTTATGGCTTGATCGAGCACACGATTTAGCCGGATGGACACGACGTTTCCATTAGAAATAAAAAATAAGATTGAAAAGCTCATAGCCTAACCAAGTGCATAACTACTAGATGAACTTGATGTTGCAATTAGAATAAAAAAAACTAAATAAGAAAAAATCTCATGGCTTGGTTAATGTGCGACTTAGTTAGACGGATATGAGTTTCCATTATAAAGATAAACTAAACTTAAAAGTTCACAACCTAGTCGGCGTGTAGCTTGGCTAGATAGACTTGGTGTTGCCATCAAAAAGATAAAAAGAGCATGAAAGACTCACGATCCGTTCATTATGCAATTTGGCTAGATGAATATAATATTTTTATTAGGTTAACAAGACGTAAGTTGAGTGGCATATAGGTGGATAGTTAAAGTTCAAATGAATGAAGTTTTAGATGATGTCCGTTATGCAAATGTGAGATTTTTAAAGAAAAAAAAATAGAAAGAGAGCTTAGGGAGTTTACTAAAAATAAAAAAATTAAAATCTTTTTGTCATTATGTGATGTTGATATTTATAATGAATTAAAAATAACATTTGATTGCTAGGATCGTCTCACATTTTCTATACTTGGATGTTCGAATTTAAATTGAAAAAAGTTAAGGGTTTTTTTTTTTTTTTGAATTTTTTTTGAAAAGACCATGCTACAACTGTATCTCTTTAATACAACCTAAAATTAAGATATAGACATTCATCCTATTATAATACTTGTGTTCATTTTTACGCAATAAGAAATTTTGTGTTGAATGAGATCCATTTTTAATCTAATCTATATGTTATATAATTTGGAGCATGTCAAAATTAAAAATAAAATAAATATAGAATAATAAATAATAAAATTAATTAAATTGGTTAATTAATTTTAGAAAAAAAAATCTGAGTATATAAAATATCATATAAATATCATATCCAATTAACATAAATATTGGATGACACTTAACATTGATTGCAATTAAACCAATTTTAAAAACACATAAATTTATTGAAAAAATTATTATCACAATTCACAAGAGCAATTTTGAATAATTTAGACAGTCCGAATGATAGTTAGGGCCACCAAACATGTTTTTACTAAGGAAATTTGCATAAATCAACTTAAAATAGTGTGAAAATGGCGTATAGAGCCAAAATCCAACAAGGCAGTATGAGTGAATAAAGTGCTACTACTTCACTCTCAGAGTCCACTCTCAAGAATCCAGATCGCAGAACACGAAAATCTCCAATCATTTTAGACCTTGGTCCGAAAATGGGCGGTAAGTCCAAAGAGTCTCTTCAAGCTTCAAAATTTTGTAATGATGGTATTATTGCTATCATTGATTGAAATTGTTATTTGGTAATACACAGGTAAAGAATCCTCAGATAGTTCTAGTCCTAGTTTATGGTTGGCTCCAAACCCGAGTAAACGATGGGCAGAGATTTTCTTTCTTTGTTACACTCCTTTTTGGCTCACTCTTTGCTTGGGTATTGTGGTTCCTTACAAGCTGTACGAGGTAATGAATTAAATTCTTACTGTTCTGTTCTTGGTTCTTGGGATAATTATGGGAAATTACGGTTTAAGATAGTTTTAGGTAATGCTACCGCTGTTGAAGTGATGGGTTCTTAACTGGGTTTTTGATGATGAGAAAACTGAAGAAAAAATGTTTTGAATTGATTGGATATGAGTGTTCGTTGTTGGATTTGAGGTAGGTTAGGTTAAATTTTTATGAAATGAGAAAAGGAAGCTACTTTGGACACGATTGTGTAGCAGTTTGAGTGTTATTTTATTATTAATCTCGATCAAATTTTGCATATATAATAGAAGTGAATCTGCGTAGGTGAAGCCAATTAGTTTGCTTTGAAGCTTAGTTTAATTTAGTTGAGCTGAGCTTAATCAGATTTTGCATAAGCGTGACTAGTTTGGTAATGGATTTTTCATTCGTTCTCCTTTCACTCATTCTCACTTTGATGCACAAACAAGTTTATGCATAACTCAGTTGAAGTAACATTATTGTAAAAGTATACTTGTTGTTACTGGCAGAGCTTCACAGAATTGGAATACTTGCTTCTGGGTTTGATTTCAGCTGTTCCTTCTTTCTTGATACCAATGATGTTTGTTGGAAAGGTAAATTTCTTAAGTATATTAGTTCCATTTTCGTATCTTTTCCTTCCTTCAAATGTTTCTATAATCCCATCTGAAGGTTTCTTACGTTTTATTTATCTTATTTATTTATTTTAAATCTCCATTATATACCATTGGTTTTTCTTTTTCAAAAAGTAACATACATTTGGAGTGTTTTTGCAGGCTGATAGCAAATTGTATTGGAAGGACCGTTATTGGGTCAAGGTAAGTGCTCTTCCAGCATAACGTTTTAAATACAATTATCAAATATGGAACCTGATATCTGAGTTTTTAATTCATTTTATAATGCTTAGTTGATATATATATACCAAAAAAGTCTGTTATGCCTACTTTTATCCAATTTTTATGGATATTCCTAACACCCACTACTTTCTTCCATTTACTAACTATTTCAGAAAAGTCCTTTTTTTTTCTTTTTTTTTTGTATCCCTGTTCTGTGGATATTTCTAACACCTCCACTACTTTCTGTTGAATTTCATCTGCTTATCTTTATTGGGATTTTGTTTAGCTCGTCTTCCTGTTAATTAGGTTGTGGATGCTCAAATCACTCTCTGTACTGATAGAATAGCATTCTAGTGTTAACCTAAATGACCAAAGCTCTTCACGTGTTCTTTTTGTGTTTCTGTTTTTCTGAGATAGCCTGTTGTAGACGGTGAATATAACATTATGAAGTTTCACTGTCCTTGATTATAGGGTATTTTGAATTCATTCTTCATCATTAGTATGCTACATAAAGCTGATTGTCATTTAAAGTCCCTTGCAATCTTGAGGATGAAATCCTTTAATGTGGTTCTGTGTTTAGTTAATAATATGGTTTAGATGCAGATTCTAAAATATGAATATTGACAAGAGATTGTTTGAGCAGATAATATGTTGTATAACATTTCAATGGGGAGGTTTAAATTGACAGTTCATGGGACAGATCTAGTGGTTTTTTGTAACGTTGTCTTCCATTCTCTTGGCTTTTGAATATGCTGGTGAAATTATTACCAGTTTTACAGCATGTGTGAAAATCTGTTGATGGATGTGAACTTTTAGCTGCGCCCCCTACCAAGATGTAATTGTCTTGGACACTACCTTTTATTCTGTTCATTTTACATTTTGAGCATTGGCTATTACAGAAATTAATCCAGTTTAATTTGTATTTTTTAGAAAGTTTGACTTGAAAGGAGGTTCAAGGTTCTTAGCCTAAACTCTAAACTTGATCCTGTGACAGGCCAGTCTGTGGATAATCATTTTCAGCTATGTTGGAAATTACTTCTGGACCCACTATTTTTTCACAGTTTTGGGAGCTTCTTATACATTTCCATCATGGAAGATGAATAATGTAAGCCACAAAGCAGAAAGTTCTTATTGTATCCATGTACTGTACAATCTGCTGACTTTCTTTTGTTATCCTCTGTAGGTACCACATACAACTTTCCTTCTGACACATGTTTGCTTCCTGTTTTATCATGTTACCTCAAACATGACAATCCGCAGACTACGGCATGCTGTTGCTGACTTACCGGATTATCTTCGATGGGCTACTGAGGGTGCATGGATTTTGGCTCTTTCATACTTCATAGCATACCTGGAGACTTTAGCTATTTCGAATGTGGGTGGTAACATGGTTCTGTGTCTATTGTTATTTTTAAGATATTTGTTTATCCTTGCGTAAATAACCTACAATGCGGGCTAATGAACATATAGGCCAAGATAAAGTGGCACTGTCTTTTTTTAAATCATCAAGTCTTTGGGATTGTCTTTCTTAATCATATTATGGTTCTTTCTATGGGGCCTTCTTCAATGCTATTCAGAAGTTAGTTCAAGTTGCATGGTGTTAGATAGTCTCTAGTTGGCTTTAAGAAGCCATTCTGTGTACAAGTGAAAATTTTGGTTCTGATGAGTTGGTGGCAGTTCACAACTTATTCTCCACTGAGGCCCTTTCTAGTTGTATTCGGAAGCTGACTCCAATTTGAATGGTTTTAAGTTAAGTCTTCTTTAGCAAGCCATTTGTTCATGAGAAAATGTTTTGGTTCTGAATGGTTTTGTGACAGTTTAGAACTTTAGTATGCATATCATTACATTATCAGACTCCATGATGTGTGGGCTGGGCCTATAGAAAGCTAATCATATCATTTACTGGAAAAGGTGATGATTTCTACTGTCATGCACATACGGTAGGTAGCTTCATCTACAAGGTTGTAACTTGTAATCCACATTGTGCAATCCTGCATGCGATCTTTTTTGTGCAGCTGTACAAGTCATGACATTTTTTATGTTACTGTATTGCTAATGTTGCAGTTATTATACAGCAACTGGTTACTAACTTGTGAATTAAAGTGGTGATAATAATGTGTTTTTTGGAATGTACAGTTCCCTTACTATGAGTTCGTGGACCGGCGTTCAATGTACAAAGTAGGTTCCTTGTTTTATGCCATCTACTTCTTTGTAAGCTTCCCAATGTTTCTGAGGTAAGCAGTCAACCTATGGTTTTTGGTTATTGGTGATAGTCTACAAATTATATTTCCGTTGTGGTATATGCCTGATAATTTGTGGTGCGGACATGCTAATCATGTAGTAATTGTTGTCTGTTGAGTGATATTTCACATCTTTACATGCTTCTGCTCACAGGAAATTTTGGAAAATACTCTTACATTGTGCTTGTACTATGAGCACATCACGTTACTCATTCATGATGTATTTATTGTTTTAGAAAATTGCAATGCCTGGTATCTTTCGAACCCTCATCTTATATGAAAAACAAGATGATTAAAGAACATCAAATTAGAAGAATCATAGAATATGAAATAATTGAAATGATTTTATGTCTATGATAGGATCAAAACAGTAATTATGGCTTCTAGTTTTCTCCTATACTGAAGATCCTTGAACTCTTTTATGGGGGATTGAATGGCATACAGGATTGAGGAGAAACCTGGTGATCTATGGGAACTACCAAGAGTGGCTGTTGATTCTCTGGGTGCTGCAATGCTGGTTACAATAATACTCGACTTGTGGCGCCTCTTTTTGGGACCTATTGTTTCACTTCCAGAAACAAAACAGTGCTTTCAACAGGGACTACCCTGGTTTCCTGGACATGCCAATCGAACGTAACAAACTACATGGAAACCGGGCAAAGGTCCCCAGCCATAGAGGCAACATCCAACTGTGGAATATCTTGTACTTGATGTTGTAACAGTAGCTGTACTTTATATCATGCCAGTGTTTCGTTTCCATCTTATGGACATTTCAGCAGAAGCATAAACTAAAGAGTGGAAGGTACGTTTTGTAATTCAAGATGATATCATTATCGCAAGTGACTCTGAGATGTAACTTGTTTGTTAGGTCCTAACAAAAAATGAGTTCTTCTGTGCTGCGAAAATCTCTGCACTCCTACTCTTTTGGGTTTGGCAGTGCTTTTCTTTTGGCATTTCTTTTTAATCTTTAATTTAGTAAAATGGAAACTTTATATGAAAATGGAAATCATATCAACTTTGATATGGATTGTAAATGTATTCTTGGACTACTTGAGTTATTTTCGTGAGGTGAAATTGGCTTATTATGCCAAGAAAGAAATGGGAAATGGCTTGAACTAGATTCGATTGTTTAAGAAAGAAATGGTAGATGTATCATCAGACATCAACTGGTCCTGTCCTCAAAATTGGAAATGTTTTGTAGCTCATGATTTTTGTGGGATTGAATTTGTGCTTGCGGAGTTATATATATATATATATGTATATGTAAGTGTGTTCCAATTTAATTAGATTAGGACAAAGGTAAGACTGGAACTGTAGACCTCACCTCTTTTGCTCATGCAAGACAAGCTCAGTTGTTAGTCCCAACAAATTTAAACTTGGAAATGGCTCAGAACCAAATTCTGATAACCATAAGTTCTTGTAGTTGTAGAGGTATCAGCTATGTGAGATCAGTTGCAAGTGAGTGAATGAATGCATCGTCTCCTGTAAAATATTTTCTGTCAAAGACTCAAAATGGTCCTTCTTTTCCTTTTGGTGGTTCTAAAGAAACAATAAAACAATACCAAGGCCTTCAGATCAAAGCACCAACTTTGGCCATGAAGTATGCACACTGGTTGCCTTTAAGGAGAACATGTTGAAGTTCTCCTCAAATATTGAACGTAAAAGATCTTTTGATAGGGGAAAAAATGCCTTTAAGGAGAACATGTTAAAGTTCTCCTCAAATATTGAACGTAAAAGATCTTTTGATAGGGGAAAAAAACTTTCTCAAGACCAAAGGTTTGTTTCCTTATAGTATCTTTAATGTTCTTTTTATATTAAGATTTTTCTTTATAATAAAGATGTTTGGTTTAAATTTCATTTTTAATGTTTTCTTTATCACAATCTCTATCTTTGAAATTGAGATATAGAGTATCTTGACTCTTCAATACTATAGAGTCCAAATGATTCTTTTATCTTATATTTTATTAATAAAAATTACTATTTCTTATGTCACTCAACTTCTTCACCAACAGATCTCCGAGAGATTATATTAAAAAAAAAGAGAAAAAATTTTAAAATTAAATGTTTTATGGATTTTGTCGAATAAAGAGTTAAAATAAAGAATAATATTGGAGAGGATATTGATTTTTAATTTATATAATTAATTGTGCTCTTTATTTATATTAAAAATATTAACTAAAAGTAAATAACATCGGATATGCTATTAGTGCAGTGGAGTATTAAGAGTGCATATGGTCTACCATAGTTTCTTGAGGACTGAATTAGTATAGTTTCATGAGGAGTGAATTAGTATTCCCTAATGCCTTAAAGACGATTATAACTTGGTCCTTCATGTTTAAAAAACTATAAGTTAGTCTCCTAGATTTTGTCAACCTTTATCTTATTAAAACATCCATCAATTTTTTCTTTATTCCAAATGTATCTTTTAACAAGCTAAATTATCTACGATAAAAAAAGGAAAAAAAAAAAACAGAGTTAATGGACTAACATATAGGCTTTCAAAAATGAAAGACTAAGTTCTCACTTCGTAATTAATCGAGGTACTAAATAATAATTCAGTAAGAAAAACAAAATTTTTAAGAAGCGTGTGGATATTTAGGAAGGCACGTGCGAGTGTTTGCCCTGCAATCCGTTGAAGAATAAATAAATAAATAAATAATGATAAAAAAGAAGATATTTATTATTTCTCAACCTTACAAAAAACTATATCCTGCGCTGCTCCTGCTTCATTACACTAGCTCAATTTCCCGCTCCAAGAAGAGCCTCAGCCCAACCGCTCTCTTCGTAAAATCTTCGAAAGTCTAGGGTTTTACTTCAGTTTTTTTTCAATCCCTGAAACGCATGCAGTCAGGGCTTTTCGGCGGTTTTTCTCTCTACTGCACTTCTGATAAACCTCTCAAAACATCACTAAACATGGCCGCCGCTTTCAGTGCTCTCTCCCTCTGTCCGTACAGTATATTATGCCGCCGTAGCTCTACCAAGCGTTCTGTTTCCTGCTCCACCGTCTCTCCTACTACAACTTCTATTGGTGTTCTTTCTTTAATTTCATTTCATTTCTTTTTTTTAAATAATTATTACTTATTTTATTTATTTATTATTATTATTATTTTTTTGTGTGGTTATTTATGTAGGCAGTAGAGTAACGAAAGCGCCGCCGCGTAAAAGGAGTGGAAGAATGGAAGGGGCAGGGAAAAGTATGGAAGATTCAGTGAAAAGAAAGATGGAGCAGTTTTATGAAGGGTCTGATGGTCCGCCGTTGCGAATTGTTCCAATTGGTGGCTTGGGTGAGATTGGGATGAATTGTATGCTTGTTGGGAATTATGATCGATATATTTTAATTGATGCCGGCGTTATGTTTCCTGAGTAAGTATTCAGCTGGATTTAGAGGATTACTGCTTGCATTTTTGCTTTTATATATATATATATATGCTAATTTTTGAATGCTTAATTGAAAAGGGGATTGAATATGAGAATGTGTTAGTTAAGTTGGAGTTTGAATAAATCACACTGTTAGTAAGGAAATGTTACCATGAAAGGAAGTGGAAGTTGCCTTTTTTTTTTTTTTTTTTTCCCCCTCTTCCTCTTTTGTTTTTGCCTTCTGAATGCATCAAGTTAAATACGTGGCTGAAAAATGCTGCTTTACGATGTGTTGACGTTGTTTTGTTTGTGTGACGATGTGTTCCAGTTATGATGAGCTTGGAGTGCAAAAGATTATACCTGATACCACATTTATCAGAAGATGGAGACACAAAATTGAAGCAGTTATTATAACACATGGTCATGAAGATCACATTGGTGCGTTGCCTTGGGTAAATTTTCCTTCAACTTCTTGGAAGTGTCATGCCGACCTTTCACTTCCAGATTAAGTTAGTGTCTATATGGCCTTTTTAATTATATCAAAGTTTCTGCTGTGACATTTGTGTTGTAGTTCTTGATAGGGTATAATTTAATAGACAGTTAGATTTTTTTGTTAATAAATTGAGGGTCTGGGACACTAATTACAGCTTAGTTGATATAGCCATGTGGTTGCCAAGATAGAGTAGATGAAAACCAACATGAGATGGGAGTCGAAAGATGAATGTTAACTTTTGACAGTTATTCTTATTTTGAATGGGGATAACCTGAATTTCCTATTTCAATATATTATTGTTATTATTATTATTTTTTTGTGGTGGTGGTGGTTGGGGGGTGGGGGGTGGGGGAGGGTGGTGTCCATTATGCTCTGTCCCTGCTGATGATCTTGGTTAGGGCTTCAGATAGACTGTGCCAAGGATCTTTGATAACTAGCTTTTGATGCAGTATTTACATAATGAATTCTGTCTGTAGCCTGCCTAAGGATTTAGGGATTGTCTTGGTGCCAACACTAGCTGCTGTACATCTGTAGTATATGATGACATTACTGTGCAATTAGATGAATGTCTTTATCAGTTGAGTACATTCCCTATGACCCCTGCATTGTATATTTGAGCTTGACATATTAATATGTTGGTGTCAGAGGGATTTGTTTTCGCAATATCCCACATTTTCACTTTCTATGGTGATACAAATTTCCAGCTTGCTTCACAGTGGGGACTAGTAATTGTGAGATTTTTCTGTTCAATCAGTTAAGAAAAAAGAAATCTCTGTTCCTTCCACCGCCTTTTGCATCTCCCTTAGGAAAAAAATTCATGCTTGATTATTTAGAAGTTTTTGCAGCTTCATGACTCTCGATTTCTTAAATCGCATTAGGCGAAGCATCTTCATATTGGGCATAAATGCATGCTTTCCAATTACTCAATAATTAGCAGCAATCATCAATCTAATGGCGATCTGGTTCTTCTAATCATACTGCAGTGGAAGATGTTCTCAAAATGTTCTTCCATTTGATTTATCGCAAGCCAGTTCATCTCAAATACGAATGGTTGATGTTACATCTGAATTAATGAACTATTAAAAGGTCTTGTCAATATTTAATGGATGACTTACAAGGAAAATCTACATGTTTGTGGCACATCAGCAACCCTCAGGCTAGGGCATGACCCTAGGTTCATGGATTGTTGATGTTCACTGAGCAAGCATTGCCAGCACTCCATTGATCAATCATGGGTTGGTGACGACAATGCTGTGAATTGTGATGGAGGTGGCGGCAATGAATTGTTTTGATCCAAAGTTGGACTGGATTTTAATTAAGGGAGGTTAAAAAAATTACTAGAAGAGAAACCATGATACTAATATGAATAAGCAAAAAATGAACTCTAAAATCATTTAAGAGACATGGAATACTACCTGGCATGTGTGCCTAAACTTTATAGTTGGCAAGATAAAGAAGAAAATTGAGATTGTTTTTTGCTAGGAGCTTAGCTAAACTAGCTTCCTTAAAACACTGAACCATTGCAACTTTGGAAATCAGAATTGGATGATCGATTTTGCTAAAAGCATGAGGGACACACATAGGAAACATGAATCTAAACTTATTTTAAGGCTTTAATAGTAAGTGGTGTTTGTTGATGTAGTATTTATTGGAAAGGTGCAGCTACCTAAGCTGTATCATTTGGTTCAATCATGCTTAGTTGTTGTAAATGATTAATCATGTTTTGATTTAGGGATTTTGCTCTGTGTCTTTTTCTCTCTTTGATAATTCTCTCTCTGTCTAACCAGGTTATTCCTGCTCTGGATTATCGCACTCCAATTTATGCATCATCCTTTACAATGGAGGTATTTTGTTCTGGGTCATACTTATACATGCATATGTGCTGAAAGTAAAACTTAATTTAGTTGACTTAAGCATGCATGCATAAATAATATGTGCACAAACATATACTGAAATGCACCTCTCATGACTGACATGTTGCAATATTGCTTATAGGGGCTCATAAAATAGCTCATAGAATACAAATACTGACCTTTTATTTTTCAGTAGATTGATATTAACGATGCAGTCAAAATTTTGTCAATTTCAATTGACCTTTTAAAATTTTGCACACTTGCATGGCAGTTCTCTAGACTATCTTTTCTGTGTTTTATGTGATGGTAAGTCAAATTTTCTAGTTTTGATTCTCTGAGTGCTTCCAAAATGTTTTATGGCAGCTGATCAAAAAACGTTTAAAGGAGAATGGGATCTTTGTTCCATCCAGACTTAAGGTGTTTAAAACAAAGAGGAAATTCACAGCTGGGCCTTTTGAAATAGAGCCTATCAGGGTGACCCATTCTATTCCTGATTGTTGTGGACTGGTCCTTCGTTGTGCTGATGGTACAATTCTTCACACTGGGGACTGGAAGGTAAGCTAATTTTGTTAGTGCATTTTCTTTTCGTCTCTCTATGAGTCTTTAAGCTTCAGAGGAGGGTTATATTCTGCAGATTGACGAATCACCATTGGATGGAAAAGTTTTTGATCGTGAAACTTTAGAGGAACTCTCAAAAGAAGGAGTCACGCTGGTAAGTCTCCAAGAATATGTAATTTGTTACCATATTGACATAGTTTGTACATGGGAACTTTATCGGTTTCAGTTTGTGGAAGAGATAGTTTTTTGTGGGACCTACATATGAAAATATGCCTTCTGTGCCTCTGTGACTTTGTGTGGGAATGAAGAGAAGCTGTGTTGTAAATTTGTCATATCTTTCATGACGATGCTATCACAGTTTTGGCCTTTGTTTGGGAATGCTTTAGAATTATGCTTCTTCTCATGAAGAGTGGCTCCTTCAAAAAAAAAAGTCTATGTTTACAACTTTATGGAGATGATATGTGTGACACCTACATGTTTGATATTTTATATCCAAAGCCGTGCTCCTTGAGATGTCGATAAAGGAGTACGTCGGGTAGAATTGAGAATAAGAGGTTAGTTTGGAAAAAGTTTAGCACTTTCAACATTTTGATGATGGGCACACATTTTATGCTGGACAAAAATTTAAAGGAACAAAATTGCTGTAACAGTGGTAGTAGGACAGTTGCTTTAGTCATTTTGTTTAAGCTTAGAAGTATGATTTGTTTTGGACAAAATATTTTTTAACTACTGTTCTGAGGTTGAACATTTGTATCTGATGCCTTTTATTTTTCTTTTGATCTCATTTAAGTTTATCATGTTATTTTCTCTTTTTTGACAAATTTTGATTTTTATTATCCATGATGATGATTTTACCTGTGGTTTATTCATGAATGCATATTGAATTAATTTCTTTTACTAAAGTTGCTCTTAAAGGGCTGAGCAACTGGAGGTTTTAATAATGCACATATCTGTTCAGATGATGAGTGACTCAACAAATGTTCTGTCACCTGGAAGGACCATTAGTGAAAGTGTGGTAGCTGATTCATTATTGAGACGTATTTCAGCTGCTAAAGGAAGGATTATCACTACTCAATTTGCATCAAATATACACCGCCTAGGAAGCGTGAAAGCAGCTGCTGATTTGACTGGTAGAAAGTTGGTATGATTTTCTAATTTCTTACTTGCACTTATAATATTATCACCTTGGTCTTCAAACGGAATTTGACTCACAGTTTTGATATTTTAATCATTGTATCAGGTCTTTGTTGGCATGTCATTGAGGACATATTTGGATGCAGCGTGGAAGGATGGAAAGGCACCTATTGATCCATCCACTCTGGTAATTTATTTGTTTAGGTTATTCATCTGATGATTTTTTCTGAGAGTTCTAAATTTCCAGTGATATCTTCCACTTTGCTCCTGTAGACCTCATACTAACTTCCACAGTATACATCCAAAATTATATAGGTTAAAGTGGAAGATATTGATGCTTATGCCCCAAAGGATTTGCTAATTGTCACAACCGGATCACAAGTAAGTTGATCTAGCTGCCTGATTCTATTTCTGTTGTGTCATTTATCTGGTATGTGACTGTGCATGCTGTTGTGTCAGGCAGAGCCGCGTGCAGCACTCAATCTTGCATCATATGGAAGCAGTCATGCCTTAAAACTGAACAAGGAAGATGTTATTTTATATTCAGCTAAGGTATTATGATATATAATATGCTTGGATTTATCATTTAACTAAAGTTATGATTTCTGACTTTTTGTTTAACTGGATGTGTGTTGTTGAATTTATATGGTCAATTTATCACTTAATGACTTAGGCATTCATTCTTTTTAGTCTTTGCTTTAATGCAAACTTCCTTTCTGTAATCTGTGTGTGAAGGTTATGTGTTTGAGGTGATTTATGGTTATCTGAATGGTGTAGAATAAACCAAGATGAGCTTTTATTTCTTCAATCTCATAGAACTTAGGATTTTCTCTTTATTTCATAATGCACATGTTTATGTGTTAGAAGTACCAAAAATGTTGCATAACCCGATGGAAGTTTTATTAGAGAATTGTTATATTATGCAACATGGCCAGCAATGGTACTCCCTTTTGTTCTTTTTTCTTAACGTCATAGTTCAGAAGCCATTTTGTTCTCATTTCTTTCTTCTTTTTTTGGGAAATGATGATTGCATTTGGTTGGTCATGTTTGTACTTTGAATTTGAACCATTCGAATCAGGCAGACTTTTGATTTTATGCTCAACTATTTATGAAATTCATCTATCTTCTGATTTTCCTGCCACAGGTTTATTTTATAAATTCCAACCTCTTGTATTTCCTTACATTTTTAGGGTTCTAAAATCTAATACTTGGGTATTTGGTCATAATGCTATTTTTTTAATAGTTTTCTTGCTGAAATTAATTCCAATTAGTAGATATGTTTTGAGTTTCTATTTCATTTTTCAGGTAATCCCCGGCAATGAATCTAGGGTAATGAAAATGATGAACCGCATATCAGAGATTGGCTCAACTATAGTAATGGGTAAGAATGAGCTGCTTCACACGTCCGGCCATGGGTATCGTGGAGAACTGGTGAGATCTTATATGCCTCTCCTCAGGATCTCACATATTTGACATTATTTAGTCATTATGTTTTTATATCTTGTTCTCCTCCACTCAATGGTTTTGTGCCAAGAATGGAAAAAAAAATCACATTCACATATTGACTCATCGTATGGAAGTTATTTCTTCCTGTCATTCATGTTGCCTTTATGGTTTTGTCATTTTTATACAGAGAACCATGTAGAACTGGATAGCTTGAACATTAATTGCTTGTTTTTATCATGACTACAACTATCGGTAATTTTTCAACTTTCAGGAAAATTGATCTTAATCTTAACATTGAGTTTGTTTCTTCAGGAGGAAGTGCTTAAAATTGTGAGGCCGCAACATTTCCTGCCCATACATGGAGAACTCTTGTTTTTGAAAGAACATGAATTACTTGGGAAGTCCACTGGCATTCGACACACTACTGTGAGTTAATATTTTCATTCTAATGGTAATTAGAATGCATAAGATGATGTTGAAGTTGGTTATGTTTGCCACAATTAGATGTATTTTTCAGTGAGGGCGTAGCTCTAGAATCTTCCAGGGTAAGGGATCATACTTTCTCTTGGTACAGGATAAAATAGTTGCTATGCTATAGGTGTTTTAGAGGATTATTATTACATATGTAGAGAGGCCGGAGAGCATCGTCGTTCTAATCTTGTTGCTTTTCTCTTGTATTCTGTAAGGAATATTCTCCTTTATTTAAACGTGTCTTTTCTTGGTAAATTTTCTTCTCTATAATGAAAACATGTGGACAATTAATACTCTTTTTATTTCTTTTTCTATCTTACCCTATTAATTATATGGATCCAGCAAATTTCCATGTAAATGAGAATGGGTCAACTCGTGGGACGTACTGCCCACAACGCACAACCTCACTGAAAAAAGTGCTTTTTTAGATGTGGTGTTGCATGGTTTATCTTGAAAATCTGTTGCTGAATATCCCATTACAACTGGAGTAGACTGCTATGTCTAACTGCATTGGTTAATGACATGCATATGGCAGATTTATTGTATACATGAAATTGTATGCAATCTTATTGTGTTGTTATACTGTTAAATGCTTCAAGTTGCAAATTATGTTAAGTACTTTACAATTCTTTCAGGTTATAAAGAATGGAGAGATGCTTGGGGTTTCTCACTTGAGGAACAGAAGAGTTCTATCCAATGGTTTTGTCTCCCTTGGGAAGGAAAATTTGCAGGTTGGTTATGCTGACAGTTCTGTTTAATCAATTATGGGAAAACATTGAGATCTATTACATGAAATCTGGTCTGATATTGCAGTTGATGTATAATGATGGGGATAAAGCATTTGGCACATCAACTGAGCTTTGCGTTGATGAGAGACTAAAAATTGCAACAGATGGTATTGTAGTGGTCAGGTAGATCTTGCAGAATCTGAAATGACATCTTGCATTTCTATGGGATACTAATCTTCGTTATTACTTTTATGATTTCATGGCGTTTCTATGTTACAGCATGGAAATTTTACGCCCTCAAAATGTAGATGGTCTAGTTGAAAATAGCTTAAAAGGAAAAATAAAAATCACAACACGCTGCCTGTGGCTGGACAAAGGGAAGCTTTTGGATGGACTTCACAAAGCTGCCCATGCTGCACTTACAAGCTGTCCTGTGAACTGTCCTTTAGCTCACATGGAAAGAACAGTATCTGAGATGTTGAGGAAGATGGTAAGGAAGTATAGCGGTAAAAGACCTGAAGTCATTGCCATTGCTGTGGAAAACCCAGCAGCAGTTCTTTCTGATGAACTCAATGCAAGGTTATCTGGCAAATCACATGTTGGCTTCGGCATATCGGCATTGAGAAAAATGGTTGATGGGCATCCAACAAGAAATCAGATGGACAGGAAGCAACCTGACGAAAATGGCTATGCACATTTAGAGAAAACATCACCAAAAAATTTGGAAGGTCCTCATATCTCTGCATCTCTGTGTTCTTGTTGATTGTGTGTGCGTGCGTGGTCAGATTGGTGGGTGGTACCTATTTGCTGACTGCCTGTGCATGAGTACATGTGAGAAAACAAGTGTGGTTGCATCACTCATATCTTGATGCTAGAGGGATTTTTCTTCATCTCATGCCAATCAGCCAGTAAAATGGCTGATAAAAAAAAAAATTATAAAAATGAAGTTAAGGCTGCATTTGAAACCAGGCCAAGCTGATTCCTTTTGAGTGGTCAAGCTTGCTTTTGCTGGAAAACAGAGCTTGAGCTTGGCTTGAGATGTTGAAGTCACAAAGCAACTGAGCTTTAATGTTCAAATACAATAGACAAAAGTGACGATCATTTTCTCAATCTTAAGTTTCAGTTGGCAAAGGCAGGTTCCCCCAGGGTGAGGCCACCCAGTTGGATCTGTGTTATTCTAATATCACAACTAAGTGGGAAGAGGGGAGTATTCCCTCTTTCCATTATTTTCTTGGTTTCTAATACTGGCTTCTCTATTGTGTGTTCACAAGCTATGCTTGTTTACATATTGGAGCTAAACTTAACCATGTTTTCAATATCAGTTCTCCATGAGCCTCAACATCACGAAGCTTGTTAGTAGACTAGATTTTTTCTGAGCTAAACTTGGAGCCGTTCATGAGTGACATGATCAGTTTGGTGATTTAAAAGCAAGCTCACATGCCCTGTTGTCATGGTTTTGCACCACCAATTTATTTACATATGATCTCGATAGCTTCATGGTATTGTGAAATTCAATTGTCTCATTAGAAACCGTAAGATCACTTCCTGATGACTGGGGAGACATCATTCTATCCTTCTCCAGTTTTATTATGCAGGAGATATTTGCTCATTGATTTTGCTAGTCACTTGAAACCAAAATCTTTGGAAGTTTTAAGCTGTCTCAATGGTAGAACAATTGTTCATTTCAGTTTTATGTACGTTCTTTATGCATGGAGTGAGTGAACAAATATGATGGGATCGCACAAATTAGGGAGACCTTTAAAATATTCATAGCACTATATTGGATAAGAATTATATATGGCTTTATTGAGAGCTTTGAATATTGTAGAAGATAGGTTCTGCAATTCACATCTTGGCATTGGCATATAATATGTATGTAGAAGATAGGTTCTGCAATTTCAATATGTTTCTTTGATGTGTACTTGGTTTTTTTTTTTTTTTTTTTTTTTTTTTTTTTTTGAACAAGTGCAATGTCAGCTGCCCCACACTAATGATAACAATAGCGAGCTTATCAGTTTGGCGTTTTCCACTCCTAGTATATACTGTGTTACTGTTGATAGTTCACACATTTTACTGCAATTTTTTTATTCCAGTAATTCTCGGTGAAAGTGGCAATTGCTGATTATGTTCAAACTGTATTTGCTTTGCTTGCCAGTTTGTGGATATTTTTTCTATGGAAAGGCGTAGTGCCATCAATTCAGCATGCATAGAAATTGTGGTTTTTACCTATGCTTAAATGTTCAACATTTTTTAAAGCAGAAGTGTCTTTTCAAAGCTTGGGATTTAAACCTCTATACTCAATGGTATTCTTTTTTTTTCTTTTTTTTTTCTTCCCAACACTGTAATCATGCAGTTGATGTCAAATTTGAAAGAGAGCTACCAAAGGAAGAGGGCACTTCTTCAAGTCCCAGCTTAGCTGAAGGACATTCCTCCAACTCGGAGGATCAAGATAAATTTTGGAAATCATTCATTCCATCATCCTACCCAGTCAAGCTCAAGGAAGATGAAAGTTTGGTTCCACAAGGGGAACATGCAAACAAGCTCAAGGAAAATGGTGCAGAGAGCAGTGATGATGACTTGATGGATACTCAAAATTCCAGAAAGAAGCGTTCCAAATCTGTAAAACGGAACAAATGGAAACCGGAGGAGGTTAAGAGTCTTATTAAATTGCGTAGGGAATTACATAGTAGATTTCAAGTTGTACGAGGTAGAATGGCTCTGTGGGAAGAGATATCTGCTAAGTTGATGGCTGATGGGATCAGTCGTAGTCCAGGACAGTGCAAATCTTTATGGACATCCCTGGTTCAGCAATACGAGGTTTGTTCCTCCATTTCTTTCACTTGAAATTTTGGATTGCATTTTGATTTCTGTTTATTATTGTGGAGTGAAGCTCATATATCTGAATGCAAATACCATGCGCTATTATTTCTGTTTTCCTGGACATTGTTGTACAATTCTTTCTCAGTGGAAAACAAAGTTTGAAGTCCCGATCATTGTTGGGGTGCTTTCTGAATTGCGTTGGTGAAATCATCTGTTATCTCTTTATCATGTTGCTTAATAACAACCATTGCTAAAATGAACAGGAAAGCAAGAGTGACATCAAAAGCCAAAAAGGTTGGCCCTATTTTGAAGACATGGATAATATTTTATCAGATTCCGAGACAGTGGCAACAAAATGATCAGAAAAGAAGGGGGAAATGGTGTTTTGAGTTTTCTGGAAGAGCTTTCAAGAGCCTCTTTTTCAAGCAAAGCTAGGCGACGATGGATGCAGTGGTCTACTAGATTAATCAGTCATGGATTTGCGCGTAAATTACAAACCGGAAATCAGGCTTGTTTTTGAAACCATACGACCAACGTGCAAGCAAACTATTTGATCAGATAGACTTGCAATGACGAACAAGAAATCAAATTGTTTTCAGCCGCAAGCTCCTCCAAAAATTGGTCACCAGATATACTAGAGATTAGGGATTGTGATATTTCTTACTCGGAGGACGTTTAGCATTTGTAAGATTTGATGTAACTCAACAGTTAATTTGCTTATATGCCAAATTTACGCAGTTTTAATTCCCAGAAGGTTTTGTTTCTGAATTTCTGGTGTCTTTTTGTCGGTAGCTTGTATTCAATCGAAAGAATTTAACTCCTTATTGCTTCTTCTTTCTTTATTTATTTTTTTTTTATATATACTAGAAATCAAAATTTTCCAAAAATTAAAGAAGCACATCCCACACGGATAGCGGATGAATGATTTCAATTAAAAAGATATATTTTGACCATGCAAGTTTAAATATAGAAAAAAATCCTGACCAGTACAACAAACCTTTTAACAGGCAAGAGAGAAACAAGAAGGGTGATTATAAACCATCAATTCGTATGCAAAGTAACATGTAATTAGTAAAACCGAAATGAATTGACTAATGGTTTTAACTTAATTAGACTAATTACAACTAACGAACTTTCCATGGAAATTATCAGGTGTTCGTTTATTCACCTAAAATAGCTTACAACTTCCGTGGTTTCCTCATTTTCATCAAATCCCGATCGCATTTGAGGTTATATTACAAGCCCCCTTCCAAATCCTTCTACCTCGTCATCTGTTTTGTCCTGCAGAGTTTCTCTTTTGATCTGTCCTAGAGAGAACATCTGCAGTATTCTCCGTATAAGCGAAAATGGCACGCAAACTCGTTGTTCTTGCTCTTGTTTTTGTTGCCATTCTTGGGTTGGCTGCAGCTGCAGACCCTGCTCCTTCTACAAATGACGTGCCTGCAGCTGAGGCACCTTTAAGCGATGATTTTATCGGTACTGATGATGGTGATGCCGCTGGTGCACCTTCTGCTGATGGTACCACGGTTGTTCCAGGACCAATGGGGAGCACTACATCTGCTGAGGGTCCTTCATCATCTGAAAAAGGCGGTGCCGCCACCCTCAAGTTCTCTGCCGCTGCTGGAGTCGCCACTGTCGCTGGCTACTTCTTAAGCTAAGCTACTTTATTATAAATATATATATAACCCCTCATCCAAGCTTTCAGAACTTGACATGAAAAGTATTTGACTTGAGGAGGTTAAGAATTGAAGACAATTGAGATGCAAGTAGCAACTAATCCACAGGGTTTTATTTTCAAATTGTGAAAGGAGAGACAATTAAATGAAGTCTAGAGTAGGGCAAATCTGTATGGCATCTTTTGGCCAGAAAGGAGAGTTTTCTTTCTCTAGCTTCTTCTATATATATTTGAAATCGTCGGTTGCGCTTTGAATTCTTACTTGATTATAAGATGAAATTGTGATGCCTATGAAACTACATGTGTATATTTTGAGAAAGATTGATTTGCCCTATTTCGAGCACATATTTGATTGTTCATAGAGTAATTTTGTTTATTAAATTACAGCCACACCACATATTTCATTGTTTTACGGGCATTCTACACAGACATATTTCTCATCATTCTTTTTGTTTGAATAAAATATTACTTGTTAAGAGTTTTTTTTTTTTTTTTTTTTTTGAATGGTTAAATACAAGTTCTTTCGATATGCTAATGCGGCCAAAAAGGGTTTCATGTTCGTCCCCATTAAATAGGTCGTTTAATTAGATATCAACTTGCCAATGAAATTGATAAGCTGAATCCTTTTGTAAGGATTACTTTTGAATTTCTTGGGCATCAAGTCTGGAGTAGACGTGCATAAATTCTGACGGCTTTTTGATGCCATGCTCCGATTAGCAAGATCCTGAAGTCGTAGGAAATGAGGAGCTAGCCATGGAAGAGTATTGAGCATGTTTTCATCTACTGTTTGAGATAGAGGAGTAACTTGCTGTTGAATTTGGAGCTCTATGCATGGAGGCATATATAACCTAAATAATCTTACTAATCCTTTAATAATTTTAAGAAAAAGGTTGGGTGATCATTGAGGTTTGATTCCTTCTTGATTTTCTTAATTTTGAGAATACTATTTAGAAAAAATTATTTTTTAAAATATTTTAGAACGATATAACTGTACTTACATCTTTAATATTTCGAAAGTATCGATTATAATATACACAAGATCCTAATGATTGAAAAAAAACACTCATTAATCATAACCCTAATCCTAACTCTAAACCTAAGGTATATTTCTCCAAAAGTATACCTATTTTGTATCATATGATACTTTTGTACCTTGTTTTTGGTAGAAAGCAAAATTCATTGTAAGATAAAGAAAAAAATTTTAAAACCTTTCTTGATGTAAAAATGTCTGTCATGAATAAAAATAAAATAAAATAAAACTTATCCCGTTAATAGCTAGGAATAACCATGCATAGGCTTTGTCTTCTTTTCATGCCTTGGGCTATGGGCGAAGGGCTAAGGCTCATTTTTGTAAACGTTCAAAGGTTAAATTTTCCTCTCTAATTAAATGAAATTAATTAATTATAATTTGGAAAAGAAGTGTTACGTACTGAGGCCAATTAATTTAGGCTCGACAAAGATATCCTTAATTTATCTAATTTCGTGTTGAACTCACGATAATATTGATGAGCATTATCTTCCTTAGCAATGGCGTCTCGAGCGTCTTGTGTTAAAAGCCAAAGCAATATATCATCATTTCTTTATCTCATTGTACGAAAAGCATTTCAAGTACTTCAATGTTTTCGATTTCTCTGAAAGGCACTTGGGAAACTTCGTTGAATAAGGTTTGTATCCGAAACAACTTAAAGGAACTTCCTTAAATAGTTCCTCGTAATGTTGTATCGGAAAGAGAAGAACAACTGTGCACTCAACTGTTAACGAATGATTTTCTTTTTCATATTTATTGAAATAAACATTGGCCTTTCTTGGAAGCAAGCACAAAATCTTATCTATTCTATGGATAATTAATGTACGTACAAAAATGTATTGATAAATGGTTAGAAAAGGTAAAGCAAACAATTGGCAGTGATCAGACGAGCCCGCCCACCATCAAGAGTACCATATTAATTAATTTGAATCTCTCTCAGTTGTGAACAAGTCAAAAACAGAAAGGGGGTCAGATCAGAACAGGTAACTTGATGGTAAAATCTTATAACATAATTTTTTTGTTTGTTTGTTTTACATGAATGCTTAATGAAGACTTATGAGGAGGAAAAGAGATTCAATGGATTCATAAGGCATATTCCTTTTGTTGTCAGGTACATATAAATCGATCTCAACCATATATACTAGCCTTGCAAGAAATTGGATTCATGAACTGCTTTGGTCTTCCACAAATTAAGTCCAACAATAACGTTGTCCTATTCTACTTCTTTTTACCTTTTTTTTTTTTCTTTACGTGACTTTCCAATTTCTTTAGTTTTGCAGTCTTGGATGGCAGTTCTATAATATTTAAAGGGGTTTGACGTAATTAAATATAAATTCCCTAGAATATATAGAGCCTTTCCTTGTTGCATCCTGCAATTAATTAGCTTCAATTCATTGGTGGGTGGAACATGTTGAAATTTTCTGCATTATTAGAAATTGACCGTACGGGAAGAGAAGTATCACTAGAAAGATCTAGACCGTCACCCCTATAATATTAAATGAATTAGGTCAAAACATATTTTCATTATAAACAAATCCAGTTGGAGACAATTTCAAGGTCTATGTATAATGGCCAATTAATAGTGATGGAAAATCCTGTAATTCAAATGCCTCCATCATCATACATTCATAAATCCCCTGTAAACAGTGATTCTAAAAGTTTCAACCATAACGGGAAATAATAAGACTAGTATTACTTTATTCCATTTATAAATTTAAAAAATTGTATACACACACACGGCTGATTAAAGCTAGAATTGCATGAGAGATGTACACACCTATATATATGATGCAACCCTTGATTGTTTCTAAAAAACGTATAAAATAATTAAGTCTTGCAAGTTATTTGAAATATCATAGAAGAGATAAAAAAAAAAAATTCCATTCTAATTTGCTACCATAGGAAACATAAAAAATAAAAAAATAAATAAATAAAATAAAATAGTTTCACTTAAATATTGCTAAGGAAATTAATGCATAGTAACATAAGAGGGTGTTCTTGTTAAGGATATACATTATCTCATAATTTATTTTTTTGTTTTGTTGTAGTTTGTTATAATTACTATTATTATCATAGTTATTCTTATCTTTTATTATTCTTTGCACCATAAATACCTCATGTATAGAATTTACTAAAATACTGAATACACAATAGTTTCACAAACCTTTTCATGGTATTAGTGCTTACCAATTAAAATAATAATTTTTTTCCTTCCTTTGTTCATAATGGCCGATCAAATTATCTCGACTACACCCGCTGCCCAACATTCCTTCACCACCTCTACTCCATCGAACTCATACTTCGCAATTATTTGGCATGGAAGACTCAATTTCTTCCATTGCTTAATTACCAAAATCTCACTAGTTTTATTGATGGAACTTCCATTGAACCATCAAATATTGTTCCTTTCCTCTTCAAACCCACATGATATGGTTTTTAATCTAGCTCATACAACTTCGTTTCAGCATGTTCAATTACTACTTTCATGCTTTTTTTCATCACTTATTGAAGAGATCTATCTATATGTCATAGGATTAATTTTATCTTTTTATGTTTCGAGGACACTAGAAAGTGCTTTTGGTTCCGTATCTCGGAATCATCAACTTCGATTGAATATTGAACATCAAGAACTCAAGAAGAATGATATGTTAGGGTCT